CAAGCTCAAAAGGTTCGCCATCACTGGTCTATAGCAATAATCAACAGTGAGCTGAAACCCAGGAGAGGCCCTAGTAAACTGACAGGTCCTCTCCTACCCCACATTCCAGCCTCCCTGAGGTTTGTCTGCTTATTTACCTAACGCAGAAAACAGGTTGTACCTCCTCAGCGCATCCGTTTGCAGGATGGATGCAAAACTGTCCGGTGGTGTGGGGTATACCCTTAAAAGTGCTGGATTTTGAACAGTGCTAAGGAGAACAAGTTCATCTCCACACTGCACCAAGAACAGGGCTTTTTCCTCTTGTTGAGAGTTTCCTGGTATCCTAGCAAGGTCTGAAAAACTCACCAGGCGTGTCTCTTAGGGTAGGTAGACCAGCTGGTCAACAGCTGTGAGTTCATTCTCAATTCTTTTTTTAAAAATATATTTTATTGAATTTTTACAGAGAGGAAGGGAGAGGGAATAGAGAGTTAGAAACATCGATGAGAGAGAAACATTGATCAGCTGCCTCTTGCACACCTCCTACTGGGGATGTGCCCGCAACCAAGGTACATGCCCTTGACCGGAATCGAACCTGGGACCCGTGAGTCCGCAGGCCGATGCTCCATCCACTGAGCCAAACCGGTCAGGCTCATTCTCAATTCTTTTTGTAACTTTTGAATAAGTTAATATTTATTATATTATAAAGTGTTTTCACAGTTATTGTCTTATGTGATCCTCTCAGTATTTGAACGATGGGTAGGTATTCATTTTATTTTACAGGTGAAAAATTGAGAGAGCTGGAGAGGTTTGGAAGCTCTGAAGAGATGCAACTTTCTGTCCCTGGCTTGCTCCCTTCTGTTCCTTTCACAGTAGCCCCAGCATTTTTTGTTCCCCAGATTGTATATAGGGGTATAAGTACGATGTTAGAATTTACTCTTTCTATGTAGACAGATACTCAGAACAGAACTTTAGTGATAGGCAAACACCTATTTGTTTATATCTGCTGAGATCTGATGGGAGTATGTGGCACCATTAAGCATTGACTTAGCTTGGTTATGGTATTGTTAAATAGAAACAGGTATTCTCACTTAAAAGTGAAAAGCCTTTAGGCTATCTAATGAGAGAAGTAACAGGGAGAGTCTGGGATTCTTTTTTTTTTTTTAATATATTTTATTGATTTTTTACAGAGAGAAGGGAGAGGGACAGAGAGTCAGAAACATCGATGAGAGAGAAACATCGATCAGCTGCCTCCCGCACACCCACTGGGGATGGATGTGCCTGCAACCACAGTACATGCCCTTGACCGGAATCGAACCCGGGACCCTTCAGTCTGCAGGCCGACGCTCTATTCACTGAGCCAAACCAGTTAGGGCTGGGATTCTTTTAAAAAAAATATTTTTATTGATTTCAGAGAAGAAGGGAGAGGGGGAGAGAGATCAAAACATCAATGATGAAAGAGAATCATTGATTAGCTGCTTTCTGCACACCCCACATTGGGGTTCGAGCCTGCAACCTGGGCATGTGTCTTGACTGGGAATTGAACTGCGACCTCCTGGTTCATAAATCGACGCTAAACCACTGAGCCACTGGGCTGGACAGTCTGGGATTCTTGTATTCCGTGTTTTACCACCAAAAATATTTATGGGTCATATATGACACATGGTTTCTGTGGGAGGTAATACATCATTTTTGAACTGCTACCCTCCTGAATATCACAATATAAGTGGGTAGGGTGAGATCATAGACAAAGATGTATACAGTTGAGAGGTTATTTGCTCTGCCTGAAGAGTGGAGAGAATAAACACACACACAACCACAACCACACAACCCATGGCTGTGGGAAGGAAGCTGTACTAGTTATCAGAGGCTGGCCTTCAGATAGAAGGAACCAGAGGCCTCACTGACCTCCTTTCTGGCTAAGGAAAGGAGCCAGAGTCTGATGGATTGCTTGCCCTCGCAGGCGTGGTGAGGAGCAGCCTGCTGGGTCAGGGTTAGTGGATGTGGAACTGGACCTGTATTGAGCATTCAGAGAGGTACTGGGGAACCAATGTGCAGCTCTGATTGTGGAAAGCATCTTAGGGCAGGGACTGCAGGGGAGATCCTCAGCCTTCCAGGAGCAACAAAGAAAACACAGCATAGATAGGTAAATGCAGTAGCTAGTCCAGCTGGGCCCTGAGGTGTGAGAATGGCCTGGGCCAGCTCAGAGGCTTGAGAAATATAAATAAGTCATTAGAAAATCCATCCCACAGGAGGGGAGTTGGGAAGGAGAGGGAGAAAGAAGGGAGTCAGTCAGATCTGAAGAAAGGTAAAACCAGCTTTCATACCAGCTAATTTAGAGACATAGTACCCAATTAACATTTTTGTTATTTTACTTGGTATTTTAGAATTTAATCAATATTTTCTTATTCACACACCGCCTCCTTTCATTTAGCAAGCTTTCTCAGTAAGCATTACTTTTGTGCAACTGCACCAATTGTAATTCAGGTTGGTGACTCCCCAGGGTGCTGGGTTCTAAGTAGTTTGAAACATGGTATTGGACTCTGAGAAATAGTCTGAGGGAGTCTTGATGATTGGGCCCTTAGGAAGCTTCTGATTTAACCTTAGACCTTATGTAGCTTATAACTGAAAATTTGTACTCTTTTACTAACCTATTGCCCCACCTGAGCCCCTGACAACCACTGGTCTACTATCTGTTTCTATGACTTCAGCCCTCCTCTTTTTTTAAAGATTCCCCTTATAAGTGGTACCATGCATATTTTTTGTCTGCTTATTTTACTCTTTTTTTTTTATCCTCACCCGAGGATATTTTTCCATTGATTTTTTTTTTAGAGAAAGTGGAAGAAAAAGGGAGAGACAGAGAGCATCGATGTGAGAAACACATCAATTGGTTGCCTCCTGCACATGCCTTGACCAGGGCCGGGGACAGGGAGGAGCCTGCAACTAGGGTACGTGCCCTTGACCGGAATCGAACCCAGGACCCTTCAGTCGACAGGCTGATGCTCTATCCACTGAACCAAATCGACTAGGGCTTATTTCACTTTTTGATATTTATTTTCTAAGCATTCTTGGAGAACATCAGTAAGCCACAATCAAAACATAAGTACAAACAATCCTATTTAATATTTACTGAGTGCTATGCTAAAACTTTACCTTCCATGTTCTCATTTAATTCCTGTCATTAATCCCATTGTATAAATGCTAAATCTAAAGGAAAGGGAAGGTTCAGAAAGATCATGCTGAGTAAACCACTGTAACATCCCAAAAGGTAACAAAGATGTAACTATATGCCTAGAGAAAACTCAGAAAGGATGTGTACCAACAATGGTTATCTCTGTGGGATAAGACAGACGTTGGTTTTTATTTTCTTATTCTTTTTTGTTGTTGTTAATCCTCACCTGAGGATATTTTCTCCATTCTTAGAGTGAAGGGGGGTTGGGGGGAGGAGGAAGGAAGGGTAGAGAGAAACATTAATGTGAGAGACACGCCGATCGACTGCCTCCCGCACACACCCGCCCAGGGCTGGGGATTGAACATGCACCCAGGTATGTGCCCTTGACCGGGAATGGAAAACTGAGACCCTTCCATGTGTGGGCTGACGCTACAACCACTGAGCAACACCAGCCAGGGCTATTTTCTTCTTTATAACCTTTGAAAAGGACCATTTCTTACTCTTCTTTCCCCCCACTTGACACCCGTTTCTGGGTAGAGTAGATAGAAAATGCTCAGTAAATAGAAAAATGAAGGTCTGTTCTTTCCTTGGCTTGATTTGGCCCCAGTGTTTGTAGCTCTGTGCATCTTTGCTGCTGTTCATCTGGCAAGTCCCCAGAGGGGGCTGCCCCTTTGCACTGGAAGAGCAGAGGCCTCCAGGGTGGAGGATGAGCTTGTATGGTGTAGGGCCGTGTTTCCCTGGCTGACGGAGGCCCACTCCTGGCAGCAGATACTGACTAGCCAACTCATGTTATTTCCTTTAGCCCAGCAGAGTTTGGAGTAGACTGGGGACAATCAGCTTGCTTGGTGACTCAGTGTAGCTGATGTAGGTTGTTGGGTACCTTTTGAGCTTGACTACTTTAAAATGAAGCTGCTCCAAACTGCCTGGCTTAACAGTCTAGTGCCCTGCTCCACTGCCCTCTGCATGAGGCCACCACACCTTTAACAGGTAGGACGGCCTGGCTACAAATGTGCTTGCTGCCAACTCAGAGCTGTTGCACTTTTTTTTCCTTTAAGCTTTATCTATGATTATTTATTTTATGTTTTAGGTAACTTAATTTTTATACAATTTTAAACATACAGTAAAGTTCTAAGAACAGTACAAAGAATTCTTGTGTACTTTTTAACCAGTCACCATAAGCATTTTGCCTTGCTTCACTGCATGTCTCCCTCCCTCCCTCTCTCCTGTATGTATATGTATGTACACACACACACACACACACACACCTTTTCTGAACCATTGGACAGTAAGTTGCAGATGGCCTGTTTCTTTACTTTTGAATACCTCAGTATGTACTTCCTAAAACAAGGACATTCTCTTACATAATCACAGTACAAAATAAAAAAAAACAAGTTCAACACCAATATAGTGCTACTAGGAGCCCAGCGTGCAATTTAAAATCGTGCAGTGCCACCCACCCTCTGGTCTGGCCCTGCCTCCCTCTCCGGCCCTTGAAGCAGCTGCGGCCACTGCTGATCAGGCCCTCCCCCAGTGCAGGCACACGGAGGCCCCTGCCACCCCGCCCCTGACGCTGCACGCACAACCTCCTGTCCAATTGACCCCTGGTGTCCCAGTTAATTAGCATATTTCTCTAATATATATATATAGATTACCTAATCCACCGTCCATAATAAAATTTTGCCCATGTTCACATATAATCCCAGTGACGGCAGAGCTTTATTTAGAAGGAAAACACCCTTGAGAAGTGTGGGTGACTCCTTGGTGAGGTGGCTCTGAGGAGAGAGAGCTAGCAGGTTATTTGGGGAAATGACTGCTGTGGGCTCCACATCACCTGTTCCTTGTATCTCCACAGGGCCCAAGGAGTAAGGGCAGCAAGAACCACACTCGCAACAATGTTAATGGAACTGGAGACCTCCGAGGGGGTAGAAGAGTCAGAGAAACAGAGGTCCGCCCCTGAAAGGGAAACCCCCAGCAGGTGAGGATGGGGCCACCAGCGGAGCCAGGGCCTGCATGCCTAGCACAGGTGGCTGCCTGTGCTGCAGGCACCAGGTACAGTCGGGAGCCCTGCTGCTGTGGCCCTCAAAATGCCTGGCTGAGACGGCAGACAGCACCCTGGGCTGCTCAGCACTCTCCCTGTGTGTCCCAGAGGAGACAGGACAGGCACTGCTAAGGGTGCTGAGTAACAGAATTTGATGGTGATCCTGGTCCTTTTTCTTCTAAAACCCTAAGCATTTTGTCGTCTGGGGAGAGAAAGAGTAATTAGAGGCAAAGCTGGCATCTTTTCCAGTATCTTCCACAGACTCTTAGAATGTGGGAACAACTCCGACTCCAGGGGTTTTTCTTACAGGGTAGGACCAGTTCCTCTAAGCCTCAAGTTACTGGGGCCTGTTCTCCATTATTATCCTCTCATCATTGGCAAAGTTCTCTCTTTTTTTTTTTTTGGTTAATCCTCACCCGCGGATATTTTTTCCATTGATTTTTAGAGAGAGTGGAAGAAAGAGGGTGGGGAGGGAGAGAGAGAAACATCAATGTGAGGGAGACACACATCAATTGGTTGCCCCCCCCACATGCACCCTGACTGGGGCTGGGGATCAAACCTGCAACCCAAGTACATGGTCTTTTTTTTTTTTTTATTTCATCTTTTTTTTTTTAAAT